CCGATGTCGAGGAATGCAACTCAACCAGTGGATGGAGACGCCACATGAGATGAAATCATGGATCCACTTAAGTAATACACTAGGGACCGTGGGCCAGACCAGGTCGTATGGAGGTCGGTCCCTCCTAGCTTTTAAGATTCTTACAAGGAAGGGCAGCTAGGTGGCACAATGGATAAGAGCAGTGGCCCTGAAGTCATGAACACCTGAGTTCAAATCTGACCTTCGAGCAAACACTCAACATTTACTAGCTGTGTGACCCTGGGCAAGTCACTTAATCCAATTGCCTAAAAACAACAAATAAAATAAACTGTAAAAAAATATTCTTACAAGGAAATTGGTACAGCTTGAGAAACTCACAGTCACGCAGACGCTGTCTCTTCTTTGTAGGTGGCAGTCAAAATCCAAACCCCAAGCCAAGTGGTAAAGCCTAGCACCTAGCAAAAAGAGTCAGAAGTTCCTTCTCCTTACAGCTGCTTCAGGGTTGGGGTGGGGAAAGAGGAGGAGACACCACATAGGCTCTAGCCATTCAGGGCAATGAGGCTAGAAAATCAAGTCCCAGCCCCTTAAAAACCAGTGAGAACAAGAGGTCCTTTTATTCCAGGGAAACAGAGTAGACCCAGCTCTCAGGTCAGGAGGTTCTCACCAGGGCTGAACTCATAATCTGGGACAGGCTCTGTGTTCCTGTGCTAGAGAATCAAAGCTCTAAAGACATTTGCTATTAAAATGACATCCACATAGGTGTGGGGAGCATGAGACAGAGGATTGAGACGAGGGGGTGCCTCCCTTATCTGATGTTTAGGTTTCTAATCCTAGCAGTTGCCCAAAACAGCCTGGGTCCCAGTTCCAATTCACCTGAGCTTCCTAAGCTTTTGCAAAATCAGCTTCAAGTTGAAAGTCTTGAGGGGTCATTAAATAACAATAACTGACTCACAGCATTTTTAAAAACAAGTTCTTTTATGATATCTTTTGGTTTTATATTACCCAAATTTCCCCCTGTTGTAGCCCTCCCATTCCCCCTTCCCAGAAACCAATTCTTTATATAGCAAGAGCTCTTAACTTAGATTTCAGGGGGATCCAAAAACTCGGAGGTCTGAGTGGGGGGAAGAATTACATCTTTATTTTTACTAACCTCTAACTGTAACTTACCATTTACTTCAATTATGAATTTTAAAAAATTATTCTGAAGACTCTACAAATGGCCAAAGTGGTCCACACAAAGAATCCCTGCCTCACATAGCAAAAAATTTAAAGAAAAAGGAAACGAAATTCTGCAAAATGGATCGATAAATTGAAAAGATCATACATTACATGCAATGTTCCATGCCTGGGAACCCTCTACCTCTACAAAGGAGTGGGGAGAGGGGAAGGAGATCCTCTCTCTTCTTTGAGGTCAGACTTGTTGTCATTCTATAACATTCATTTTCAATTGTTTTGTGGTGGTGGTTTTCCATTTACATAGTTACAGTCGTTGTGTATCTCATTTCCTTAGCTCAACTTACTTCCACTTTACATCTGTTCATGTAAGTCTTCCCATGCTTCTCTGTATTCATTTCTTAGAGCAGTTTTATCGTATGTATGTATTCTACTGTATAAATGTAATATTCTATTACATTCATGTACCACAACGTTTAGCCATTCCCCAATGTGATCCACAGCACTTTAAAGCACTTTACATAGCATACGAAGCTCTCAAAACCCTTATAAAATAGGGACTCTAGGTATTTGCTTCAAGAAACGGAGGCTCATTGAAGGAATTGATTTGCCCATAGTAACAAAGCTAGTTGGTCCCAATGAAGATCTGACCTTCTGGAAGGATGTCTGACATCCTGGAATCAAGATGCTACAGTATCTGGCTGTTTTGGCCCGGTCTTGTGGGGCTGGCCAAAGCATGACCTGGCAGAAAAGAGGAAGGGGCAGGGGGAATAAACATTTACATAGTACCTACCATGTGCTAAGCTCTGCATTAAGCAATTTACAAACATATATACATATATATATAATTTATATTTATATATATTATTTATATTTATATATAATATATATAATATATATATATACACACACACATATATACACACATACATCTATATATATATATATACACACACATACATACATATATATACATATATACATATATATATGTATATATGCATATAAAAAATCCCCATTTTACAGTTGAGGAGACTGAGGTAAACAGAGATTAAGTGACTTGTCCAGGGTCAGACAGTGGTGTCTGAGGATCTGAGCTCAGGATTTTCTGAATTCTCGGCCTTCCTTCAGACCCAAAGCTCTATCCACTACACTACCTAGCACTCGAATGCAACTCAGAGAACCCAAGTTCTAGACTCCTCTCCTCTATTCTGTGTGACCTTTGGCCAAGTCACTCCCCTCTCTGGATCTGTTTCCTCACCTGTAAAATGGGACACTTAGACCAGATGATCTCTGAGGTACTTTCTAGCTCTAAAATTGAGTCCAGGGGCAGCTAGGTGGCACAGTGGATACAGTACTGGCCCTGGAGTCAGGAGGACCTGAGTTCAAATCTGGTCTCAGACTAGACAAGCTGTGTGACCCTGGGCAAGTCACTTAACCCCAATTTCCTCATACTAAAAAAAAAGAAAAAAGAAAAAAAGAAAATTATGAGTTCTATGAATCCATACTCCTTGTAGCAAACACAACCTCACCCACAGCTACATATCTGTGAAATCTTACACAGGCATCGGTGCCGAGCCATGAACTCAGGCAGGAGAGGACAGAGTACAATTTGGGGCTTAGAGGCTAATTCAGATTCTGCCAAGACTACGCATATGGCACTACCAATTCATTTTCCTTTCTCACACTTCTGTTCTCTTGTGTAAAACTGAAGGCCATCCCAGCTCTAAATCTCTAGCAATGACTTGTTGGAGGGGTTGGGGGAGTACAGGAACACTAATACACTATCGGTGGAGCGGTGATCAGTCCAACTAGGGAATTTTGCACCAAACCCAAAGTTACTAAACTGTGATGGCATTACTAGGCACACATCCCTAAACAAATCACAGAAAGGCGGGAAGGACCTACGTGAACAAAAATGTTTGTAGCAGCCCTTTTTGTGGTAGTAAGCAACTGGAGGAGTGGATGACCATCACTTAGAGAATGGTTGAATGGTATATGAATGTAGATAGGACAGGGCCTAGACCTGTGATTTCCTTTCTCCAGGAAGGAAACTCCCTCTACCAATGCATCTTCTCTGCAATTTGTAATCGCAGAGTTGTCTGGAGAGATTGAGGGGCTTGCTCAGGGTCAGAGGCAGTGTCACATGTGGGATTTGAACTCAGGTCTTATTGGCTTGGGGGTGGGCTCTCTATCCATTACTACCCTGCCTCTCTCTGGCTATATGAATATAATGGAATATTATTGTGCTCTAACAAATGACAAAAGGTATAGTTTCATCAAAACCTGGGGAGCCTAGTATGAAGTAATGTTGAAGGTATTTGAGTAGAACCAAGAAAACAATTTATACGATAACTACAATAATGTAAAGAAAAACAATTTGGAAGGACTCAATAAGTCTACTCAGTGCAATATCCAATCATGCCTGCCAATAGATTGACTGAGGAAGCATGCTTCCCACCACTTGGCAGAGGAGTGGAGCAGAGGTGCAGAATGAGACATTTTCAGAAACCGCTCATCTGTTAATTTGTTTTGCTTGCTGCTATTTATTTGTTACAAGGGAGGATTTCTATTTTTGACTAGAAGAGCTAGGGGTGGAGGGTGATGAGGAGTTGCAGTAATAGGGATGCCAAGAAAAAAATGGAGAGTCAAACCTAGCTTTAAAAAAAAATAGAGAAGGGAGAAAAGAAGGAAATTCAGAAAGAGACAAACAAGCAGGACAGGTTTGGAACTATCACATTAGATTTAATATACACTTTAAAAAAACTGTACGTAATAGTTCACAGTTTCATATACCATCTTCTTTTTCTAGTCTTTGCATATTGAAATGTTTGTTGCTTGTTATATTCATAATAAAAATAAACAAAAATGGACAAACCTATCATCTTAGATGTTTTTTGAGGAAAAACAGTACCCCAATTGGAGGGCACTCTGTATTTACAAGTGCTTTGGAAGCAAGGGATGTTGTTGCACAAAAACGTTTTCCATTTCTCTCCTTTCTCCAGATGCCAGTGAACGTGAGGCCAAGATCACTTTGGGAGGAGAAGCAAACCACCTGTGGTGCACAAATGTAATGGAATGTTGCTGCACCCTAAGTAATTATGAATATGAAGAATACAGAAACGTGTGGAGAGACATACAAAGCGATGAAAAGTGAAGCAGTTGGGAGCAGCTAGGTGGACAGTGGATAGAGCCCCTGCCCTGGAGTCAGGAGGACCTGAGTTCAAATCTGGATTCAGACACTTGACACTAGCTGTGTGACCCTGGGCAAGTCACTTAACCCCAATTGCCTTAAAAAAAACCCCTTAGATGAACAAAGGGGTACTTTAAAAATTATACAGGTTATCCTTCACCCTAAAACTCTAACCCTGTGCCCCAGACACCTTGAATTCCCTTGTCTCATTTAATGAGATGGCAGAAAGAAGAAGAAACTAGGAGTCAAGAGACCTGAGTTACAGCCCTGACTCTACCACAGACTTTCTCAAGAAAGTCATTTCCAAATCTCTGGGTCCATTTTATCATGTGTGAAAGAAGGAAGAGGGGTAGGTAAGAGGGAGAAGGAAAAGGGTATGACTACATCTCTAAGATCACTTTAGCTCTTACACATGTTTTTAAAAATGTATTGATGCATTCTGTTTTTTACATCAGTCATTTCTGGATATATGCTCCCCCACCCCCACCCCCCAACCCCGTAACAAAGAAAAGCTATTTAAGTGCAAAACAACCATACAGTGACTGCATCTGATGGTGTGGGCTCCCAACTCTTAGTAAAGAGAGGGGAGGACTTCATTATGCTGTTATCTATTCTCCGGGATGATTAATTTTGGTTTGGCTTTTTTTTTTAAAAAAATTACTCAGAGTTTGGCTTCCTTTTTTTTAGCTCTTAACACTCCTGGGAGGGAAGGAGCACAGAATAGTGGGAAGAGCTCAGGAACGGAGCCGGAGGATCCAGTTTTATAGTTCCTGATACCAATGCTACCTGACCATGATCAAATAACACCTTCTCTCTTAGCCTAGCTCCTCATCTGCTAAACGGGAAGAGGAACACAACACCTCTCTCAAAAGGATGTTTGGGGGGTGAGGGGAGGGGGTGGCAAAGTGCTCTCTCAATCTCAAAGTGCTGTAGAAATTCCAGTTCAGCCTGATCCTTACTCATCTCAAACACACCTACTCAAAGCTCTCCAGTGTGCATCCTGCTCCCATATTTAAGTCTCCAATTTAGCCCATTCACAGCTCAGCACTTCAAGGATTTTTTAAAATGATGTTATTTGGAAAGCAAAACATCTACTGGGAGTAACAAAAGAAGATTGAAAGATGCAGTCTTGCCTTTGAGGAGCTCAAGGGGGGAGGGAAAAACTTTACAAGCACACCACCAACCTCATCCACACAAGGTGAAAATGTACAGCAGCAGAGTGCCTGTGAGCTAAATGAATAGCTCAGGTCCCTCAGCTGAGTCTATCTCAGCCAATCTAAATTTAATACCCCCTCACAGACAAATACCAGCAGATATTGCTTCCATTCTCTTTCCTCAGCTCTGCCTCCTGTTTTAAATATGAGCCAGTTTTGAACAGAGCAGCTCTGGAATACTTTTATTGTTTTTATTATTATTATTATTAAGGAAGCTCTGTATTTCCGCTACTGCTCACCAGAGATTCATAAACCTAAAACAATGCAAAATCTCAAAGATACGAACTTTTTTTTAGTAATTTGAGACGCTTACTAACATTAAGATGAGGAACAATAGGCTGCCTTAGGATATTACAAATGAGAATGCACAGAGCAACCGTCTCTATTTTTTTTTCTATTTTCCATGTAATATAATATTAACTCCACCTCCCACTCCCAACCCCCATAAAAGAAGAAGCACATTCTAAAAGCTAAGCATAGAAAGGTTCTGGTTTAAAGTAGTCAAAGTGATGAGGCCTTTCACCTCTATACAACTGTTTTTAGAAGAGAATTTATAATTTAGAGAAATGTGGGAAGATTTACTTGAATTGTGAAGTCAGCAGAACCAAGAAAACAACATATGCAGTGCCTATAATGATGTAAACGGAAAGAATGCAGGTCAACTGAGCGCTATGTAATTATCATAACCAAACCTGGCCTCTAAGAGACGCCAAATGCACTCCTCTTCCCTTCCCAGAGATGGAGGCATTTGGTGGTGTGGAACATCAAACGTCCCATCAGATGACTGACGGGCTGGTTAGTTTTGATGAACTGTTTTTCTTCTTGCTTTTTCCCTCTTGGTTACAAGGGATTGCTCTCAGGGGTGAGGGAAAAAACATTCAGAAATGAAGGTGACATAAAAACAAACAAGAGAGGAGAATCCATAGTCTATCATTATGTCCACTGAAGATCTCATTTCCTTGCTGGAAAATGGGGAGTTAAACACATTTTTTTCCTTGAATGAAATTCATTTCAAAATCAATCACATATAAACCTTCCCACCTAACAGCATCTTAGAAATCTGTTTTCTCTATTGGAAGTATTTTCCATTTGGCACAAATTCAGTATGATTTCATTTGGAGTGTCTGAATGTTAGAAACAATATTGTTTATGCCTGGAATTTCAAAATCTATACGTGTATGGAAAGGGTTTGAACACCAATATGCATATGTGTTGATAGATATGTAATAACCATAGAGTCCTCTACACACACACACACACACACACACACACACACACACACACACACACACACACACACACACATATATGCCCAGAAATAAGTTTACCAATTCTGTTGCTATTAGTCACCAAGGCCAAGGAGTAGGACTCCTTGGGAAAAGATTCAGTTTAGAATGAATAAGTCTGCATGTACCAATATCTCCTGATTCTACTTAATTTTTTTCCCAAATGGATCAGAAGAAAAAAATACAGGAGAGAACAGTTTTGGTCAATGCAATAACGAGTGTATGTACAATGTTTTGACATTTATGTCTTAGGAGAAGAAAATAAGCGTCTTGTTAATTAAAACGCACTTTCATCTCTAGTCATTTGAGACACGGCTTATTCTGCAGGACAAAACAAAGTACAAGGTCAAGTCCAACGAGGACTCAAGAGCAAAGAGATGAGAGTGTAGAGGCCTTTTTGTTCTGATGTCCACAGGCCACCTAGGGACCAGCCAGTTAAGAAATCTTCACTGAAACTCAATGGAACTGGCCAAGGATGTATCCGCCCAGACTCCACTTTTATCCAGATGGGTAAGCCTTGATAATCTTCACATCATCAACAGGACGGTCCTGGGCATTCGTCTCTACCATACCCACTCGATTCACCATCCCTATACCCTGACATACACGGCCAAAAATGGTATGCTTCCCATCAAGCCACTGGGTAGGGGCCAAGGTGACAAAGAACTGGCTGCCATTGGTGTCTGGCCCTGCATTAGCCATTGCAAGAATTCCAGCCCCTAAAAGAGAAAAAGAGAGAGAAAAAGCAGCAGTGAACATCAGAGCTTCACAATGCAACTATTGAAGATTCCAGAAGCCATCATTTTAATGCTGGTCTTCATTATATCTCACTCAGACTCTCTTCAACCTTCTTCTCCCTGTAAAATCCCCAGTTTTATCAGGCTATCTTAGACTACCTCCCTTCTTTCTCTTCTGGGTCCCCAACCCAAACCCATTCTTAGATGAGTACTTCTCAGGCAAATACATTCAAATTTGCTCTCATCAGACCTTCTGCCTTCTCTCAGGATGACTGACATATTACCCAGCCTCCTCTCCCCATCATCCTACTTTAGCAAATCCTCTCTTTGGGCAACTTCTAACTTCCCACAACAGGTAGTTAGAGACCAAAACACTGCAGACCAGCTCTTCACATTACTCAGCAGGTCCTGAGCAGATGCCTTTTCTCACATCTGCCACTTTCCTTTTGTGGTACCAGGGCTGAGCAGCTACCAGGCACTATGCTAATCTCCCAGTCACCTAGAGTGACAGCCAAAGGAAGAGCTTTTTAAATTCTGAAATCCACTTCCCTGCCCGTGCTCTCTGGTCAGATTATACACACCTGTGAATTTCAACTCGGGGTGAAGTTCATCTTCAAACTGTTTACCATAGATAGATGCACCACCTCTGCCTGCCAAGGAAGAGAACAGATGAATTAACTGCACAACCCCACAACAGGAAAGGGACAATCTAAGGTCAAAAGACCTTCACTAGAAAGGAAAGGAAAAGTTAGTGAGCAGTCCAAGCTTCTCCTCATAACTCCCCTAGACTTATTTAAAATTATATGGCCCAGCAGGGAAAAGAACCAAATATCATTATAACACATACAAATCAGACTGCCACAGTGGATTCATTGAATGTCATTTCCTGTTATTGAACAGCATCATTAATGGCCTTGATGGTGGAATAAAAGGGAGCCTCATCACAGAGGGTTCAAGCCAAAGGAAGAACAGGCACAGAAGCACTCAGTCACAAAGAAATTAAGAATTAGTGTGACCTCTGGGGGTGAAATGGTAAAAAATCAAATAAAATGAGGTTCAGGAGGCAGCATGTTTTGGGAAAGAAACAGGTTAACACAAGACAGCTAACAACATCAGCTAACGTGACCACTGAAAAACCCTACTACTCCCATTTAAAGGTGAGGGAAACCAAACGTAGGGGGCAAGGTTGAGAAGATAAGGAAAAGTAAATTCTGAAAGCTCACCACAACAAATGTTTGTACAAAAATTGATTGCCAACAAAGCCAATGGTGAGATTTCGCTTAATATAACTCCAGCTTAACATGGTTAAAATAGAAATAAATATCCTATCAGGTCAATCAACCAAAAACATTTGTTGTGTAAAGTCTCACTGTTATTCAGCCATTTCAGTCACATCCGACTCTTTTGTGCCCCTATCTGAGGTTTTCTTTCTTCTCCAGCTCAATTTACAGATGAGGAAACTGAGGCAAATAGGGTTAAGTGACTTGATCATGGTCACACAATATCTGAGTATCTGAGGCCAGATTTGAATTCACAAAGAGTGAACTCCTGAATTTGAATTCCTGACTCCAGACCTGGCACTCTATCCATTGTACCACCTAGCTGCCCATATAGCCTCAAACAGGGTCCTTTAGGGAGACACAATCTGTTGGTACTGTGCTTTCCCTAAAAAAGTTTGTGAAAGATGGAAGGGAAAAAGGGAAGGATCTTCTTTCTCCCTGGTCCAGGCCATCCACAATCCATTAAGGTTTCAAAGAACTTTCTGGGTAAATAAGTGTTTCAGAGTGCTCTTCTCTCTTTATTTATCTTTTTAAAAATTATCACCTACGTTTATCAAAAAGACCTCTCCCAATCCCAGAGAGCTAAGCGACAAAGACTGATAAAAGAGCTCAGTGAAACTAACCAATACATCGAACAAACTGACAGCAGATGTATTGTTACCCCACCCAGAGTCCTCCTGCCTCTTCAGAGAAAGGGAGTGGGTGGGAAGAAGTGCATTTTTATAGCTCCTCCTAAGCCAACCTGGGCCATTATCATTTCACAGCATTCACTTTGTTTGTTTTAGATTTCTTCTCAAAGATTTTAGGTGTTGGCATTCTAACACCTAGTGTGTTTGGACTTGGAGTCAGGAAGATCTCAATTCCAGTCTTGTTTCTGATACTTTTTTTAAGAGATTATTTTTTAAAAGTTATTTAAATATTTATTTTTAGTTTTCAACATTCACTTCCACAGATTTTGAGTTCCAAATTTTCTCCCCCACCCCAAGACAGTATGCATTCTGAATACCCCTTCCCCTAATCTGCCCTCCCTTCTATTTACCACCCCCTCCCTTCTCTTATCCCCTTCCCTTTCTATTTTCCCGTAGGGCAGGATAGATCTCTGTACCCCATTGCCTATATATCTTTATTTCCCTGTTGCACATAAAAACAATTTTTAACATTTGGTTTGTTTTTTGGTAAGGCAATCAGGGTTAAGTCACTTGCCCAGGGTCACACAGCTAGTAAGTTTCAATTAACATTTGTTTTTAAAACTTTGGGTTCCAAATTTTCTCCCTTCCTCCCTCCCCACCCACCCTCATTGAAAAGGCAAGCAACTTGATACAGGTTATATACATGTGTAGTCATGCAAAACACTTCCATAGCAGGCATGTTGTGAAAAACTAACTATATTTCCCTTCACCCTATCCTACCCCCGGGTTATTCTATTCTCTCTTTTGACCCTGTCCCTCCTCAGAAGGGTTTGCATCTGATTACTCCCTCCCTTCTATCATTCTCCACCTCGCTTATCCCCTTCCCCCACCCCCCATTTTCCCATAGGGTAAGATAGATTTGCTCTTCTCTCTTAATCCTCCTGCCAATGCCCCTTCCACTCTTCTGGCTGTTAACGGACTGCCCCCTCCCCAACCCCACCTCTGGGGGAGGGAACCCAGAATCCCCTCTTCTCTTCTTCCTAAGGACAGCCCATTCTACCTCCACTACAGCCACCATCATCAGAGGCCCTTTCTTTGCACTCATTTCTCTTTCCTTTCCTCCCTTTCTCCATATACTCAGGACCACAACAGCCTATTTCTAGGGTTTATTTTCATAGGAAAAGTATATATACAAATAAAAGACACTCCTCCTAGGTCCAGACTGGGTGTCCCTCACCAAAGTTCTCCCAGCCTGGCCCTCTTGATTTCCCTCTGAACTAGGCATCGCACCATGAACTGACTCCCCTCCTGTTCCCAGATTAAAACATGGCATCTTCTTTCCTAGTGCTAATGTGTCTAAGCTCAGTCCAGAGAGCCCAGCAATTTGGTTTTTTTAATCCATTCTTCCAGTACTATCAGGAAGCCTCCTCATGGGCTTGGATGGCAAGCTTTGGACGCTCCATCCATAATACTATGATACCGATTGATGACTAGCTATCCTTGACCATGACACCAAAGGGTAAAGAAACACAAACAGGTATTTCAGATAGTTCACCCTCAAAGTTCAAAACAGTCACCGCCATACTTTACACAGCTCATTCACTTTCAAAGTTTCAACTACTGTCTCTATGTTGACAACTCTGAAATTTCTATCTCCAGGCTAGTTTGAAGGTGTTAGCTTTCCCACAGCACAGCTCACCTTAAGTGCTAAGTTGGGGGGGAACAGTAGCACATAACTAAAATTACCCTATCTTTTTTTTTCAAACCAGCTCCATGACCCCACCTCCCTATTTTCCTATATCACACCAGCATTTTCTCAGTCTCTCAGGTTCAAGTTTCATTTAGCCTTGAAGTTTTTTTCTCTCCTATACTCCCCATACACAGCTAGTCACTAGTTCTTTCTACTCTTTCTTCACAAGCAACTTGTCTCTTTGCCTCCATTCTCACTGCTACCACCACAGCAAGGAGAGAGCTAGGCTCTCCTAGCTAGCTCCCCTGCCTCAAGTTTCTCCCCCTTACTCCCCACCCCCAATTCACTGCACACAACACTGCCAAATTAATCTTCTAAAACACCTCTTTTATCACACCACTCCCTTAACCCAGAACCTAAAATAGCCTCCTAGCTTGAATCCAAAATCCTTAGTCTGGAAGTCAAAGGCTTCCATTAACTGCCTCAACGTTATCTTCAACACACACACCATTTGCTCCAGTCAAGTTGATCTTAATGTTCCCCATGCATACCAGGGTCCCTTCTGTCTCTGGGTCTTTGCTCCTGCTCTTACCCTGGCCTCCTTTTAATCCAAATTTTATCATTTCTTCAGTTCACAACTCATCTACTCCATGAAGCCTCCTTCACAAGCTAAACCCCTAACACAACCTTTCCCTTACCATAAACTCCTTCAACTCTCCTCTAAATAGAGTCTATGCCATAATATTAGATATTTCTTTAGGAGGTCTCAGCTCCTCAGCTAGATTTTAAACTTCTTAAAGGAAGGAACCATGGCATCTATTTCTTTGGAATACCCTAGAAGACTGAGTGACCATAGCTCACACTGCTATAGCATTTTAAGGTTTACAAACACCTTTCAACATAACAACCTTGTGAGGTCAGAAGCTGGGGCCCAGAGGTGAAGTGACTTGCCTTTGGTCAAATAATAACTAGGTGTCAATGCTAGTCTAAATTTCTTGATTTCCAGTTTCATGTCCTTTCTACTATAATATGGTGCTTTCTTACTTAATAAATTATACTCATTCAACAAACAAATTTAAGGACGAACAACTTGTAAAAAGGTAAGACTGGATGGAAGGTTTTGACAACAAAAAGGACTGGCATCTTAAAAATTACCTGCATACAAGAGGCTACTGAAATCATTCAACACTCTGTAAGGGAGTAAGTATAAAGAAGAGAGTAAAGAGGCAGCTAGGTGGTGAAGCAGATAGAGCATCAGCCCTGAGTCAGGAGGACCTGAGTTCAAGTCTGACCTCAGATACTTACTAGCTGTGTGACCCTGGGCAAGTCACTTAACCCCAATTGCCAAAAAAGAGAGACAGAAAGACAGACAGACATAGTAAAGATTCCAGGACTAAGCCTTAAAGGATGAATATAGGTAAGGGACAGAATGAGATGCAAATAAATCAATGGAACCAGAGAGGAAGCATTCAGAAAGATAGAAGGCTTCTAGTTTATCCTCATTACAAATAATGCTTGCTGATAGTTTTAGATAATGATTAGTAAGATCAGGTGTGAAACAAGGATGCCCACTGTCACCAAAATTATTCATTATTATAATGGAAATCCTAGCAAACAGTAAAAAGAGAAGAAAAAGAAATAGAAGGAATCAGAATGGGCAATGAGGTAATAAAACTATCTCTTTCTGCAGACGATATGATGATATACTTGGAAAATCCCAAAGACTCAACTAAAAAGTCAGCTGAAACAATTAATAATTTTAGCAAAAGTAGCAGGACATAAAGTAAATCCACATAAATCATCAGAATTCCCATATGTCACAAACAAAACTCTTCAAGAAGAGATAGTAAAAAAAAAAAACCATTTAAAATAACTCTAAACCAGCACTTCTTAAACTGTGGGTCTGGGGTCCTGACTCACAGTTTAAGAAGGACTGAAGGGGTCAAGAGTGGAAAAAGTTTAAGAAGCCCTCCTGTAGACAGTATAAAATACCTGGGAGTATACCTTCAAAACAAATCCAGGAACTACATAAACAAAATTATAAAAAAAAAATTTTCATACAAACAAAATCAGACTTTTGGAGAAATATTCATTGCTCCCAGGTAGGTAGAGTCAAGATAATTTAAAAATGACAATTTTAACCAAACTAATTTATATATTCAATGCCATCCCAATTAAACTACCCTAAAATTTTTTTTACTGAATTAAGAAAAAAATAGAATTCATTTGGAAAAACAAAAAGTCAAGAAAATCAAAGGAAATAATGCAGGAAAAAAAGTAAAGGAAGGAGGCTTAGCAGTATCAGATCTTAAATTATATTATAAGGCAGTAATTATCAAAAGTATCTGGTACTGACTAAGAAATATAAAAATATATATCAACAGAATAAAGTAGATACACAATTTACAGCAGCGAATAAACATAATAACCTTGTATTTTGCAAGTGTAAAGACTTAAGATTTTAGGATTAGAATTCATTATTTGTCGGGGCAGTGAGGTGGCACAGCAGATAAAGCTCTGGCCTTGGAGTCAGGAGGACCTGAGTTCAAATCTGGCCTCAGACACTTGACACTTACTAGCTGTGTGACCCTGGGCAAGTCACTTAACCTCGATTGCCTCACCAAAAACAAAACAAAAACAAAGGAAAAAAAGAAGTCATTATTTGGTAAAAATTGTTGGGAAAACTGGAAAGCAGTATGGCTTATTGGAAAGCAGTAAGATATTGGGCACAGACCAATATCTTACACGATTTACCAAGATAAGATCAAAATAGACATGTGTTATAAACAGAGATTTTACAAGAAAATTAGAAGAACATAAACATATTACTTATCGGACTTATGGATAGGCAAACAATTTATGAACAAACAAGAGACAGAAAGCAAAGTTAGGTGTAAAATGGTTAATTTCAATTATATTAAATTAAAAAGATCTTGTACAAATAAAACAAATGTAGCCAAGATCAGAAGTAAAGCCGAAAATTAGGGGGAAATTTTATCAGTTTACCAGATAAAGGTCTCACATCACAAATATATAAAATATATAATATATATTATAATAATATAATACATATTATTATAATATATATAAACTATAAAACACATAAAAACTTTGTCAAATCTATAAGAATACAAGTTGTTCCCCAACTGATAAATGGTCAAAGGATATAAACAGGCAGTTCTCAGATGAAGAAATCAAAACAATTTATAGTCACATGAAAAAAAATGCTCTCAATCATTATTGATTAGGGAAATCCAAATTAAAACAACCTTGAAATACCATTTTACACCTACCAGATTGCCTAAAAATGATCAAAGGGGAAAGTGACAAATCAATGTTGGAGGCGATGTGGAAAAATGGGACACTAATTCATTGTTGATGGAATTGTGAACTAATCCAACCATTTTGGAGAGCAATCTGGAATCATGCCGAAAGAGTTATTAAACTACCTATACCTTTTGACCCAGCAATACCACTACTTGGTCTATTTCCAAAGATGATTAGGGAAAAAGGAAAAGAACCTACATGTTCTAAAATATAGTAGCCCTCTGGTGGTAGCAAAGAACTGGAAATTGCAGGGAAGCCCATCGGCTGGGGAATGGCTGAACAAATTGTAGAATATGATTATAACAGATTATAACAACAATACTGTGCCATAAGAAATTATGAGCTCAATGATTTTAGAAAAACACAGAAAGACTTGAATGAAATAATAAAGAGCAAAATGAGTAAAACCAAGAGAACATTGTATACAGTAATATCAATACTGTTTTAAGAACAACTTTGAGAGAATAAGTTATTTTCACTATTATAAATATCCAAACAAACTACTATGGACATATGAAGATGCTATCTGCATCCAGAGAAATAACTGATAAATAGAAGTGAACAATTTTACACACACACACACACACACACACACACACACACACACACACACATATATATGTATATACCTATTTGTGTCTAATGACACATCTAATGACATAGCATCTAATGACACATCTCTAGGTGGGGGGGAGGGGAAGGAAAGAAAAAAAGAAATTGACATTATTTGAACAGAATAGCAAGTTATATATAGTAGATTTGCAGTTTCATGTGCGATCATCTTTTTTAATTGTACTATGTTATAGAAATGCTTTTTTTATTCCATAAATTAAAAATAAAAAAATAAAAATTTTAAAAACAAAGATAGATTTGAAAAAGAACAGCCACAAACCTTAATGAAGGAGAGAATTTAAAAGAAGAAAGGGTAGGTCAATAAAAGAAATCCAAAAAGGTATGAAAACTAAGAAAAGATGATTGGTTTTAGCTAAAGAAAGTCACCACTGGCCTCTGAGAAAATAGTTCTGGTAGAATGGTGAGCAGACTAGTTAGGGAAGATGGTGGCAGGGTAGTACAAGCTAAGGTCACAGAGCCACAAAGGGTAAATGAAGAATGAGACAGTAAGTTATAAAAGAAAAATCTCCTGTAAAAGGAAGGCAAATATATTTAAAAACCAAAGGAGGGAAAAAGTAAAGATACTCAAGAGGGAAGGGACAAAGAGGGAACCAAGGCTTTCATGTCAAGCTGACCTGGGCTAGAAGCCATAATTCCTCACCACTGCCATCAACAAAGGGCTACATACATTTCCAAGACTCCTCCAAAAATTTCAATAGACTACATTGAACAAAACTAAAAGCAGGTCAAATAAGTAGCCACCTAGGTCAAAAAAAAGGAGGGCATCATAAGGAACGCTTTAACTTTCTTTTTATTAATGCCAGTGCCAGAAATTCTACTACGCATGGCACTTAGGTATTTATTTTGTGACAATTCATATGTGTTACCGTGAATGCTAAAAGCTTCTAGTAGTCAGCAGCACATGAAAACTTATCCAGGGCATACAAACGCCTGTCTAGACTCTGGCCACAAAAATGTTTTTATTTTTGGTTGGGTGGAGTTATCTCATATGAGTCTGTTCTAACATTTTAAGTCTTTAGAGGACATAATACCACTTTTAGTCATAGCACTATTGGTGAGTTTTCTTTCTTCTTCCCATTTGTTCTGAGGACTATATTGAAAAAGTATATACAGTTCTCAAGTCAGATGAGTCAGCTCTGGCTCTAGAGTAATTCTAAGGCATATGTAGTACGGAGAGATCAACCCCAGAAACAAAAAACCTTTAAGGAATAACATACTGGAATAACATCCTGTTGCCTCCATGTAAGATGATTAGTTTTGGCCATACCTGTTCCTGTAGGGTCACCACCTTGGACCATGAAGTCTTTTATGATCCTGTGAAATTTGGTGCCATTGTAGTAACCACGTCGAGCCAACTCTGCAAAGTTCTTACAGGTCTTGGGGGCATGTTTCCAATACAGCTCCAGCACGACAGTCCCCATGCTACAAGATGGAAGGATAGCAAGAGTCAAGACCACAAGACCAACAATTCGACTCTGGTTCAGATTCACATCTAGCATGTTGACAAAGCATGGGGAAAGTTGCTATTGGATCTCATGCTTGGCAAAAGAGTGGTTTCAATTCCCACTAACACAAAAAAAGCATACCTCACTTTGGTAAAGCAAACAGGTAAAAAATAAAAGGAGAGTCACAATTCTGACATATACATACATACATACAAACATAAGATTTCCTCTCCAAAGATTCAGAAGCATGTGTATACATGCTTACTTTTGGGCATGTATATACACACATACGTGTTTATGTGCACATAATTATACACACATAACTATAATCCAAGTAATTAAACTACTCAATACCTGCATTTTCTCCCTGTATTCAATTCATAAAAGTGATCAGTAAAGGCTTTACACAGAGAGTTGGATTTGTACATTTTGAAGATGAGCAGCATTCAGGTAAGAGGTCACCCAGAAGAGAGGGTTATGGATTCTCTCTTTTTTTTAATATATGAGGCAACTGGGGTTAAGTGACTTGCCCAGGGTCACACAGCTAGTAGCAAGTGTCTGGTCTGAGACTGGATTTGAACTCAGGTCCTCCTGACTCCAAGGCCGATGCTATATCCACTGCGCCACCTAGCCGCCTCCCCTTTTTTTTTTTAAGTAACTTTTTTTTTCAGGGTTATGGATTCTCAAAGGCCATACCAGTAGGGTCCAAGCTCCGGCAGGTTCAAACACACCAAAAATTTTTCAAGTATGGTTCCGGTGGCAGACTGAAGATCCAACTCCATTATGTAGAGAACATCACAGGTAGGTTGGCCATGAGACAATGAATTCTTTGGTCATGGTGGCCCATTAGAAAAAGAATACTGAATAGCTTTCAATCCTTTACTGCCTATCCTGTTTCTACAGGGATGACAGCAGAGTGGTAGAAAAGGGTCAAAGGTACTAAGAACCACAGTTTCTAGACTATCAATAAACATTAATTTAACTGCCGACACTCTAAATACAAAGTGCTTATCCAGTAACCAAATGTACATATTACTGTAGCAACCAAACAACACAGATATCAAAGCTTGTGCTAGACATGAAAGCAGGAGAAAGAAATTGCAGATAGATGAAAGGACAGTTTAAGGGCTCCTAAGAGAGGCAAAATAAAAGGACAGAGTTGGTTCTATCATACTTCCAAAGGCAACAAGTATCTTCATTTCACAGAACATATAGTCCCCTCATCTTGCAGTGCTTATGATGAACACATGCAAAACAAGAAAAGAAAAGAAAAGAGAGAGAGATACCACCACGAAGGTGACTGAAACTTATGTAATGACATCTGCTGTGCGGATGAAGAGAGAGAAAAACGATCAAGAGCCCAACAAGAGCTTCCAACACAAGGCAATGTATATTTTAATGCTCAGTGACTTGACTGTAAAGATAGCCATAGGGATGACAACTAAAAATACCCTGGAAAACAAAGATTCATGATTAAGATATTAGAGAAGTCAAAAGCTTACCGACTACTCAAATGTATCAAGCCTATGTAACATGAATGCTTTCTTCAAGAAAAGTGAACTGGAAAGTCATTATCTATTAAAGAAATGCAAATCAAAACAACTCTGAGGTACCACATCACACCTATCAGATTGGCCAACATGACAAAACAGGAAAATGATAAATGTTGGAGAGGATGTGGGAAAATTGGAACACTAATGCCTTGTTGGTGGAGTTGTGAAATGAATCAACCATTTTGGAGAACAATTTGGAACTATGCCCAAAGGGCTATAAAAATGTGCATACCCTTTGACCCAGCAATAGCACTTCTAGGGCTATATTCTAGACAGATCATACAAATGGGAAAAGGACCCACATGTACAAAAATATTCATAGCAGCTCTTTTTGTGGTGGCAAAGAATTGGAAATTGAGAGGATTCCCATCAACTGGGGAATGGCTGAGCAAGTTGTGGTATATGAACGTAATGGAATACTATTATGCTATAAGAAATGATGAACAGGCTGACTTCAGAAAAACCTGGAAAGACTTATATGGTCTGATGCTGAGTGAAGCAAGCAGAACCAGGAGAATGTTGTACACAGTAACAGCCACGTTGTACGATGACTAATATTGATAAACTGAACCCTTCTCAGCATTACGAGGATCTAAGACATCTCCAGAGGTCTCAGGGTGGAAAATGCTGTCCACATCAAAGAAAGAACTATGAAAGTTGAATTGCTATTTTTTTCTCTTGTGTTGAGTTTTGTTTCCTCTTTCTGATGGTTCCTCCTATTGGTTTTAATTTTTACTTACACCACCACTAATATGAAAATATGTTTAATGGGAATGTAAATGTATAGCCTATATCAGATCGTGCGCCATCTTGGGGAGGGTGTTGGGGAGGAAGGGGGAGAAAAATTTTAAACTCAAAAGCATATGGAAGTGATTATTGATACATCAAAATAAATTAATAAAATTTTAAAAAAAAGAAAAGCGAACTGGAAATCACTAGTCTTGTACCTGCCTCACCCTCACCCTCACCACCACCACTACCACCACCACCACAAATTGGTACATCTCTATAGCAAATCATTATGGCAAAGGTCAAAATCAATATCAAATTATAAGAAATTTCCAAAATGTGAAGACACTGTGTGCAATCCTGGAAACTGACTGATTCAGACAAGCTACTGATGCCTGTGAATTGAAGCTATTGATGAATGGAAGTGTATATTTTATAGGATCACAGATTTGGAGCTAGACAGGACTTCCTAAGGTCATCTTGTTCAACTGGACTACAGCCTAGAGCGAAAAAGAAATCAAATGCTCTATTAACATTTCCTACAAAAGTTTAAATAATGTAAAGCAATCAGCACAGTGATGAGGAAAAAAGAGCTCAGAAACCATTTCAGTCAGCAAATGCTTGGTTTTCTTGCCAAGTGGAGAGATAACAATAACCAAGGGCAACACCACTATAAATTCATTTGCAAAACTTGACAGAGGGGTACAACGTTAAATTACAAGCAGTATTGTCTCACAAAAAGTGAGGAGTGATAGAAGGGAAAATGAGTCTACAGAAAATTTGATGTGAGACTCAACTAGGTTATTTCACCCCAAGTACATTTCAAGATGAAAGTGAAGACAAAAGACAAAAAAGTTTCTATAACAAATTATTTAAATGATCATTAATGACAGAACCATCACATTTGTACTCATAACTTCAGTTCCAAATGCATTATATGAGGAAGTAGAAGTGCACACCAATGCCTTTCTCCATCATCACAGGTCCCTAGAAGATAGAGGCCCCAAACAATATTTATGGTAGCAAAATTTCACTTCCCAATCCCCTAATCCCAGTGCTTGAGTCACCATCTCCCAAGGCAAAAATCTCTCCTTTTCTTGATATCTTGCCCCATCCTCTCATCCCCATCCCCTCAATGTCTTCTCTCATCCACTGCTTGATTTTGAACAAACTCCACTTTCTTGTGCTTATAGAATCCAGCTCTCTCCAGGAGACACTGAATACCTGGCCAAATTCTCCAGTGATGGCTGCTCAAAGAGCTGGCATACTCTTTGCTGCCCAATGACACTTCCAGACTAATACCATTATTCAGGATCTTTTCATCCTTTGAGATTCACTCCATTCATCTCTATCATCTAGTCTAAATCCTCACTGTTGTGATCTGCTGAGCTCCGAATCACTCTCCCTTCTTTCTAAATGAGCTCAGTATCTAGCTCGTAATCTTTCTCTCCAATCCAAACCCTGTTTTCATATTGGGAACTTCAATTCACACAATGATACCCTTTCAAACCCCACTGGTTTCCAAGTTCATTAACTTCAACATTCACACCTAAAGCCTCACTTTTCCTCAGCCACCAAAAGGGATAATCACGCCTATGACTTCATCATTACCCATGACTGTGTTGCTTCCATGATTCAGAATTTCAGAAATTCCCTTCTCTGATGATAACCTGTCCTTCCATCTTTCCCTCTACCAAACTCCTCCTAACCTATTCCTCACTCTCACCACACCCTACCATACCTTCATCCCTGCCTGTTCTCTCAGTCCAGTATCCCCTGCTATGGCCTCATTTTCCTCTCTTCACAGTCTTCACTCTAAAGCTGACCAGTTCAACTCTACTCCCATGCCCTTGTCTTTTACTGTTGCTAAGCACACTTAGGCCATCCCCAATCCTTGCAACTTTTCCATACCCATTCCTTAGCTCCTGAATATCAGCAGTCTCCACCATGCCAAATGAGGCCACTACAAATTCATGCTAACAAATCTCAGCTGGGTGGGTCTTCACTGCGCCCAACAAAACTTAAATTTTTCTGGACTGAATCTCAATCCCAATCCACTCAGTAGCTATTTTGAAACCTTTTCATCTTTCCTCAAGTCCCCAAGGCCTTTGCCAATCCTCATGTCTTTGCCTCCTATTTTACAGACAAAAAAGAGGCCATCCACAGTGAGATTCCTCTTCTCCCTTACTCCATACCTCAAAGTCCCTCTATATCTTTATCCACACTTTTCCTCCTTTAGACCTATTTTTGAGGAAGATGTGGTCCTTTTCCCTACCAATACCAACCTTTCTACCTGTGCCCTGAAGCCCCAGGGGCCCAAAAGACAATTTTTTTTTATCTTCAATCTCTATCTACTGGATTTTTTCCCCCATATTTCTATGGAGATCTATATTTAATTTACATATAAAGATTCTCTCTTTTACTGCCGGACTCCTTAAAAAAAACAACTGCACCTGATGCCCCCTCTCCCCACTTCCTCCTCTCCCAATAATTTCTCAATTCTTTGCAATCTGGCTTTTGACCCTACTACTTGACAGAAATGGTTCTCCACAAAGTTGCCAATCATCTCTTTACTGCTAAATCCAAAAGTATTTTCAAAGTCCTCATGGTCTTTGACCTCTCTGGCCATCCCTTGCTCTTGAACACTTTTGCATCCCTTGAATTTCATAATACTGTTCTCTTCTGGTTCTTCTCC